ATTCTAAGAGGTCAGAATCCATCTAGTGGAGTTCTAGGTGAAGAGTGCTTAAGTATTACTGGGGAGAAACTATTCTGAGCTAGAGGAGACTTCACAATGTAAGGGCCAAAAAAAATATTAATGAAAAAAGGTCATTGGTGAATATCATTGGTGAAAACCAGTCTAGCACTAGACTTACTTTCTACACTAGATTGTAGGTATCAGAGGGGCAATCCCCTCAAAGTTGAGGACCTATCATTTTGATTCTAGACTGAAATTATCAATCAAGTGTGAAGGGAAATCAGACATTTTCAAATATGCAGCATCTTTCCATCCATGAATATTATACATAAAATGTTATTCAGAAGGTTGTCTACCAAATGAAAACAAGAATCTAAGGATGAGAACAACATGGAATACAAAAAACAATAGGAGCCAAATATAACCCAAAAGTAGACGAGTATCTAAAAAGAAATGAAGCATTTGGAATAATCTCCTTGAAGTAGCAAGTAGATCCTTCAGTGATCCAGGCAGAATGTAATTTCATTCTCTATGGATATAATTATATTATTTGGCTTCACAGGGAATAATATTTGTATACTGGCTCTCAATTTTTAGAAACAATCCATAGACAAACCAAACATTCATAGTTATACTGTAACGATAAGTACAGCGAAAGTATTAAACCACGATACTATGAAAATTATAGTCTAACACATTGGGAGGTTATAGGTAAGGGCAACCCTCCTGGGACCCGGGGGGTTCCCAGACATGGGACTTTCAGTGCTAACACTGGGAAAGTCCTGGGCAAACCAGGACTAGCTTGTCACCTTGGTCACTGGGGAGAAAAGATGAATGAAGGATGCTAACAGCCTCATTTTGCAGAGCAAAGGTTCAACCGATGCTTCAGAAAGGAGATAGTTGGTAACAACCAGCAGGAATACAGCAACTGTTAGTAGTGGCTGCACTTGAGGAATGAAGTTTTTAATGCTTGATTTCACCCCCTTCCAAATGATTTAGAGTTTTAAAACAATACACCCATTTAGAGTAGAATAAGTCAAGTCTAATTCATGAGGCATCTAACTTCTAACAAAGACAATGGTTGAAAATGAGAAAAAGCCAGGGCTCCAAACATGAGAAGCTAACTAAAAATGATTAGACAAGGGATTTTTATTTAAACTCTGATTTGAAAGCAAGAGTATAAACAACAGCCAAGGACAGGAAGCTTTGTTCCCTTGTCCAGGGGCAGTGTCCATATGCTGAAAATGGATGGTCACAGGGAAGGACAAGAGGAAAAGGTCCTCTGAACCCCAAAAAAAGGAACCAGTTGAGCTGAGTGACTCATGTGACCGGCCATTAGCTGCTACACTGTCACCAGAGCCGCTGCTGGGTAAACCAGAGGGGCCCTGGTCTCTCCACGTAGAAGCTGCTAGAATGACCCGCTGCTCCCTCTCTCTAAGTGCGACTCTTTATGACTGTTAGGTATTAAACTAATTTTTTTAAAATGCTATGAATGACATACCATGATCTGCTTATGCCAAAGTTGTAACATTAAAAAACCCCAAATAGGGCTTCTTTTTATGAGCATTAACACTTCGAAGTTTGTCTAAAGACTCTAAAGAGGGATTTATATCTATAGATAAGTGTGTGTGTGGGTCATTTGTTTGTTTGTTTGTTTGTTTTTCATCTTCTAAGAGAACCCAAATCTTAGGTATGCTGATCTACAGGTATTTGCACAGGAAGCCATTAACTTATCAACAAATGATAACACAGTCATGAAAAATAATTGTTTCATTCCCTTCAACTCAAAAATGCCCTCTGTGTACACCCAAAAGATACGATATTATTTTAAATTTCAAATAGAAGAAGCCCAGAGTCCTGCCTTTTTTAAGTCACTAACTACCAAGCACATAATCAAAACCCATTATGAATGTTCTACACTGCACAGAACTACAGCCCTTGACGCCTCTAACAGCTTAATGGGTGCCTGCCAAGTTGCTGCACACCTTTTGAGTTTCCTTATTTTAAGATACACTTAACATTTTTAAAACATACCTGAAATCAGGATACAGCTTATAATTAACATGAACACGTAACGTGGCTGAATGTACTTAGGCTTCCTGTAAAGCTGCTAAATCAATGTATACCTTAAAAATGCAGTCTAGAAACTTCCAAAAATAGAATATTCATAACTCACTGGAAATGGCTATGATCATGACATTTTATCTGAACCATGAAAGGAATATACAAAAATCTAGCTCCAGATAAGCTGAGAAGCTGGTCCTACAAATGAAGACAAAGGAGATTAGAAATATTAAAAAGGACAAAATTAGACCCAAACAGACAAATTTCTCAATTCTTTTGAACTACAAGGTACATACAATTGATCTGAAAATTCCAAAAGGAAAAAAAAAACACAACAGAACTATGATTATCCATTCATGGCTTTATACTTTTTAATTACGAGACTCCTAAAATTCTCATTCACTTATTCCAGGGCGTCAAAAATATTTCAATGTCTTTTCAATATTTCAATATTTTTATTTAAAGTGAAATCAGCAGGTAGGTAAGTCTCCACAACTCCCCAAAACAAGTTTTTTACAAGGCAGCGAAAGCTACAGTTGACTTGCACTCCAGGAAACTAATTGAAATGTACATGAGTAAACTTAATGGAATAACTTAAAACATTTGTCTGAAATTCAAACTATTCTCTTATAAGCCCTTAACAGGTAGGAACCGTACCCTGCCTCCGTTTTCATTTCCTCTGATCCCCAGTGACAGCTCTATTGAATATTCAAATTAAACAGGACTGAGAACTAATTGTTTTTCCAGGTGAAGAGTCACTCAACTACTTTAAAACCTGGGGTTTTTTAAGTTTCTGCATCCAAAAAAAAGGCCTCCTGACTCTTCTTGGAAGGTTAGCATTCTATAAATTCCTACGCAACTTTCCTGAAGTCACTTACAAATCACAGCCTTGGAACTCCCAGGCAAAGATGCTGGTGTTTGAAATAATTCAAAAGCACGGAAATGAGCATTCACTGTATTCTCTACAAAATTAAAGATTTATTCTTCAATTGTCTCATTACTTCATTACTTTAGGGGGCTTTCTCCCAGAATTAGGCTAAGAGAGTCTGGAATTGACAGTTAAGTTTTTCCATATGTCTGATTTTAAACCAATTGATCTAGTGATGAAGAAATTGATTTATTCTTTCAGTTAAAATATTTTAGATGTTTATTTCTATTCACTTTTTTTTTAAAAGGCTTTATCTCAAAGCTAAGTTTCATGCCTCTATGCAGTGAATAGCCTTGAAGTGGTAATTATAGAGGTCAGCATGCCAGTGGATAACTTAGGGTGGACACACTATGTGCCTTTTGAACTTCCCATACATTTTCCCTCAAACTACTTTTTATGAGTTCCAAATGCAACTTCCTCCCAGCCTATACATATGATGGTGTTTCAGTGATGCTTTCCTAGTCTAGCTTTCCTAGAGTACTATAGGCCATACATTTTCCCTACTCCACAAAATCATCTTCATATTTGTTATCTCTACCACTCCTGAGGCCACTTGATCACACACTTTGTTTTAAAAGGCATGCAGGTTAGCCGACCTTTTCTCCCAAACCAAACTACAAGCCAGTCTGAATGACAGTCCCTTCTATGCCTCCTACTCACTAGCACTTAGGTGGGACTGCACACATTGACCAGCACGCAGTAGGTCCTCACATGTTCTTGGATGGGCAAGTACGTGTCATAGCCATTGATCTACATTCAACACAGTCCTCTCGTCTCAGAAGGGAGAAATAACCGGATCGGATTTTTAATATTGTGCTGGACACTGAGACTTCTCTCAGCCACACTTCCTTGAGTTAAACGTGATATTATCACAGATTCCCAGGGACATCATGCATGGGTTTCTCTCAACACCACTTGAGTTTGTATTTTGTTGTTGCTGGGAGTTTAGACTGCTTCTCATTCTCTTACAAACCTTAAAATTAACAATATATGAATATCATCATTTAAAAACTGAGGAAACTTTTGTGTTTAAGTTATTTATTAGGGACCCACAATAAAGTGACAGTTCCACTTTTCCAACACTTCCTGCACCCACCCCTCAAACCCCCCAGTCCCTGCTTTTTCTCCTAGTGGCTCCCTAACCACCTTCATAACAATTTCCTTCACTCCCTTCCATCCTTGAATTTTGCAACTGCCCAGGAAGAAAACAACACTGAGTTAGTTTCCATCTTTCTATTTTATCTGTCTCTGAGGTTGAAAACTAAAGAAGAATCACATCCGCACCATGACACTGTGATAAATCCATGCTTGCCAACCTCAGCTGGGTTCTTGATGATCTTCACCCATATTTTGACATAATTTTTTTTTCCTGTGCCAGTATGGACTGTGCCATGCTTTATTGTTGTTTTTTTGAGGATTAACTTAGATTTTCAAGTATACAACAAAGTGGTTCACGAGTTACCCACATTATTAAATCCTCACCCCAACTAGTGCAGTCACTATCTGATTCTGACATAATTTTTTAAGCAAAAGTTAAGTGAACACCTATTGTGTGCCAGGGACTGTGCCTTTATCCTTGGTCAGCTCCTGCTATATTGCTGTATTCCTCTCTGCAGCCCCTCAGACCCCCCAGATCACCCCACTCCCCCCACTCTCAGAAGCAGCCCACTCTCCTAAGTTGAGGAAAACCTGGCCATCAGGAGGGGGTGATCAGAACTGAGGAGGCCGACACCTCATCACCAGCATCTTTTACCCTGTCTGCATCTCTCTCTCCCATGCATCCGAACTCTCCCACTCCACCGGCTGCTTTCTCTCAGCCTGTACAAATGATGGTGTCTCAGTCATGCTAAATAGCATCCCCTTTGGACCCTGTACCCCCTCCCTCCTTCCCTCGGCTATTATCATTTTCCCGACTTGATCACAGTCTTTTAGGGTCACTGATATGATCCTCTACTTCCTCCTCTCTCACTGACTCCACTCATGCTTCTATTCTCTTGTCTGGCCACAGAGGTGACTGGGGCACGGGTCTTCGGAGGCTCCTGAATCTTACTTACAGCTTTGAGCAGAACCTTCAGAGTTGTACCTCCAACTGCCTCGACAACAACAGCTCCATGACTGTCTCTCGCGAACTCCCCAGCTGGGTGAAGGCCCACGTCCCCCTAGGCCTCGCCTGCTGTCCTCGGCCTCCTGCCGCCCTTACTCTGCACTGACACCCTAGCGAAACCGCACAGCCTGCAGCACCTCTGTTGATGCACCTTTTCCGCATCCCTGGACCCTGTCCTGTCTCTCCTCGGCATGTCACTCCCACCCTTCTGCATCTGGCCAGCTCTCTTCCATCCTTGAAGACTCAGGGACCAATCACTTCCTTCAGGACAGCGCCCCTGAGCAGTGCACTTCCAGATGACCCTGCTTCTATTCTCTTTTCTGGCCCAAGAGGTGAACAGAAGGGAACTCTGACCTTCAGGGCAGAAGCTCTGTCTCATCTGTGGGACCTCAGGCCCAGAGTCACTATTCAAAAATGTGAAACTGGATTATGAGCCTTCAAAGGAGAGCGAATCCATTTTTTTGTTTGCTTCCAGATGTGAAGTGTGTTTTTTGGCTTAGTAAAAATAAATAAACTGTGCTTTAAAAAAAGAAAAAAAGCATTGCATAAGGTATTTGCACAGAATCGTCTAAAAGCCTAAATAAATAATTAAGTCATTAGCAAAATATCAACTAATTTAGGAAGGGGACATTCACATGAAATCATACTGGAAGGGCACGCACACTTCACTGTGGTATCCTCCAGCTGTAAGCCAGCAGTGTTTCGGTAAATAAAACCAATGATGAGTAGCATGTATTATTTCATGGCAAAACGTCTTAGAAGTATTCTTCAGCACATCACTTCAAGGTGAGGTCTTCATTCCCCTCCTCCTTGTCTTTTAACCACCAGTGCCTACTTAGATAAAAATTAAAAGTTTGAGAAATGATTTTCTGTATCTCTGTTTATTGCTTCCAGAAGCTGGACTCACAGTAAACTGTAGGTGTTATGACTGATGAGGCACTTGGATTTGCTTCACTACAAAGCTTATTTTCTAAGCTCAATATAGTCAAAAATATTGGCTGCAAAAGGCAGGCTGCAGACCAGGATGTATAGGATAGTAGGATCCTATTTTTGGAAGAAAAAAAAAACCAAAGAAATGCCTGGAAGAAAACATCTGAAAGGATCTAAAACAAAAATTTCATAAGTGGTTGCCTCTGGCTGGTAGGATTTAGGTGTATGAGTTTTCTTTTTCCTTGTCCCCAATTATCATGTAGCACTTTTATACTCTTTTTTTTTCTTTTTTTAAGTCCTTTCAATAACAAGTAAACAGATGCATTTCACAGACCTCAGAAGCTCTGATGCCCTCTGAGTCCTCACACTGTTCACTGGAAGAGCATCATCTTGAAGCCTGAGATCAGCCTTGAGGCCAGTCAAATGTTTCTGAGGGCTGGGAAGGCTTAATATGATAATGTTGGACAGGGATTGAAACTCAGGTGTTTACATATTTGAGCCTGACAAGATTTTCTAAATGCATTTTACATGTTCAGTGAATATTTCCACTATACTTGTCACCTAATTCTTTCAAGACTCAGTTCATGTGGAACGTTTTCTGGAACTCTTTCTGTATTAGTCTGGTTTGGGCCAAGTGCCCCTCCTGTTTACTCTCAAACTTTGCATACATCTACCACCCTGGCATTTTTATTCCTGCCGGAATTCCCAACTAATGTGTCCAGTGGGTCACTACTTTCCTCTTTTACTCGTCACCTGCAGCACAAGAACAGTGCCTGACACATGATAACAGAGATTCAACAAGCATCAACTGAATGAATTCATCCACCCATAGGGAGTACTCTGCTTGATCCTGGGGACAGTGGGGCGGTGGCCCTCCCATGATGGGTGTGCAATACTCTGCCTTCCCAGAAGCCATGAGACAGAACACCCAATAAACTGGCCAATCAGGAGGCCGTTTAGTTGTACTGGGATAGCTCAGGAATGCTCATGGGAGGGCAAACAAGAGCGTTCAGTCTTTAAGCTCAAGCAAGTCTTCAAGAGAGAAAGGAGAACTCCTAGGAGAATGTTGAAAGCAAGGGTCAGAGGCAGGAAAACTTGTGTGTTTGTGACAGACACATCACAAATAAGCACATTACACATACTCCCCAACCCCCTGCCACTTGGCCCAAGTCTTCAGGTGCCTTTACTGTTATTATTCTGTCTTTCTCCCTCTCAGATGGAGCCCCCAGTGAACAGGGAACACGTCATTCTTCTTCTGATCAACAGTGACCACCTGCTGTTCAACTCAGTGTTCACTTTCTACACATGTCTATAGTGACAATACATCATGGATGGCCTTACCTTTGTGTCATTTTGTAGATATATGTTGTGGATATGTCATTTATCCTACTATATATGCTAGAGAACAGTGTTATAACTTTAATTTTGGGTATTCCCAAAGTGCCATTCACATGGTAGTACTCAAACATGGGACTGATTCATGTCCCAACAGAAATATCACCTAATATGCAAAAATCAAAAGCGTATTTCAATGCTGTGCCCCAGCTGGGTCACAGAATACCAGTCAGGGTGGTTTTCATAGTCAAGGATCCAGATTCAGATTCTGTTGGATCAAGGTGCTTGGTACTTGAGCCAGCTGCCTCTGCCGGCCATCATTCGTGCTCTCCCATGGTCAGGCCTGTGATGCCTGTTAGAAGCTTAGTGAATTTACCTCCTGTTTGGTGGGCCATCTACATCTCCGTATTGGCAGACCTGTTGTCAGAGGGGAGTCTCCTTCCCAAACCTCCCTCTTGTTTCCTTCTACAGAGTCAGGAGTTCTCACTTATTCATTTAGTTGAACTGCAAACAGTTAACAAGTTTACACTGTGTTTGTAACCATGAAAAGCTTTGTTGCCACCAATGAAAAGCAAGTAAATAGGGGCATTCAAAAGGCCTTGTTCTCTGAGTCATGTTCCCAGCAGCTGACACTCACAAGTGGACACCAACCCCAGGGCCACCAGAACCCTTGTCACTTTCAAATGTCCATTCTACACACAAATAGAGGACTACTTTGTTTGGTAATAATTAAGAGAGGTTTTATGAAAAAGCAATTTCAAAAATGAATAATAAGGTTTTGAAAAATACAAAAATATTATGCTATATCACAATCTTTGTGTGCTATTTATGCAAAAGATGCTCCTCCCCGGAGATTGTGTGTTCAGCGCCACCAATAGATGGTGACCATGGAAATGTAAAATTTGCCCTTACGGTTATGTCTGAAGCCACTTTTTCTTTTCTCAAAAGGAAAGTGGTCCTATTTCATCCTATTCATAATAGAATGTGATCGTGTGGTCTAGATTAGCACTTCATTTAGATCTTCAATGAGCCAAGAAGACTTGTAAACATGTGCATGTCCAAATTATTTATTGTTCTTCTTGCACCATAATAGTTCATATAAAAATGAGAGGAAATTTTTATATTACCATTTAGCTCCAAGAGTCTGAGACTTATATATTGTGATGTTTACATATATATATTTAAATAAAATATGTACATGCATGTATATAAACATGTATATAATACACGGGATATAGATGTATCACTGCTCTGAAAGTCAAAGCCTGTGGTATAAACACAAATGGCCAAGTGGTCAGTCTGAAATTCAGGACATTTGATAGGCAGTATCCCAAGTGGGTCCCCAGAAAATAACAAGCTTTATACTCATAAACTGACTTTCCCATGACAAAAGTATTACTATTCAGCGAAATAGTGGAGAGTCATACAGAAACCAACTAGCTTCACTGTGTCACTTTTGGTCAAAAAAGCATCATGACTGTAACTGAGAACACAAACATTAAAAAAGTTCCCACAACTCTCAAGTCAGATCAAAACATATGTGTCCAGTCCAGGTCTCCACAGAGGGGTTCTTATTGGCACAACCTACCTTCTGTACCCATTTTTCCATATTTCTTTACTGTGGTTCCAGCCATTACTCTCAACAGCTTCAGCTTGCATGCTGAGGTCTCTGAATATCCCCTGATCTAGGGTCTCCCTAACCTCTCGGAGTAGACCTCCCACAGCTCTGTCTCAGAGTGCCTGCCAAGCCTTGCTACGCGAAGCGTGACCAGGCACAAGGGTCGTCAGCAGCATCATGAGAAATACAGCCCTCAGCCCTGCCCCAGGCCTCCTGAATTGGAACATACATTTCAACTAGTTCCCCAGGCAACTCCTACACAGAGGAAAGTGGAGACATGCTCCTCTAGACTTGACCACACAAGATAGACCTTCATTGATGGCCTCCAAAACCGAAGTAGATTCTCTGACCACAGCTTCACAGACCCACCCCACCGCACCACATACCCGCCCAAACACTCCTTTCTAGCTTCTCTAGAAACTCGATTTTCACATTGCCCGTTATAGACCCCTCCTTCCTTCCACCTTCTGTTGCCCTTGGCAGACGTTTGCTCTTCTTCCTCAACTCGTGCCAAACCTCCCTTGGGCTGCCAGGCTGTGGAGATCCCCTGGGAGATGGCTCTCAGCAGGCCGGCTGGGTCCTGTCTCCCACTGGAGCCCAGGCAGCCACAGTGAGTTCTGCAAGCAGAGGCCAGGCCACAGTCGGTACTGAGGATTATGGCGTCCAATATGGACTCAAGCCAAAGGACTGGCAATGATTAATAAGCCAGGTGCTGCAAAGACAACGTGTCTGAAGGAACTTACAGCTAGGAAGAAATCAGGTCAGGGAGTCACAAAGGCAGCAGAGAGTATAAAGACTGATAGCTTTTGGAAGTCAAAACAGGCGAAGGGTCAGCACACATCTGGAACTGGATAAAAATGGATTTAACTAAATGAGTCAATGAGACTGAGACCCAGAGTCAAAGCTTTGGAAGAAGCATTTGCGTTAGGTGCACAGACCCACACAAACACAGCCTTCCCCTGAGATTCTAGACGTATGGCCACGGTGGGTAACTGGGAGAACAGCTGTGACCACTGACAAGTGAGGGGAGCTGCAGATAAATGCTGTCTTGCTGAACTGGCAGAAGAAAGCTGTATTAGCTGTCCTAACACGCCACGGGCCCTCAGCCCTCCAGGCCTCCTGCCTCCCCTTCCACACTGGCGCTCCGTGGATGCGCTCAGCTCCAACTTCAGGCACAAGAGCACCCATCCGGCCAGAGCACCCTGGACACTGTCTCCACAGTGTGTTGTTGCGTTGGTTCTTGCTTTTCCCCTCCCCTCCTCACACGTGTCCTCAGAGGAAATAGTTTCTCTCTTCAGTAAAGTGAGTCTAAAAGTGGGCCCACCATAGAAACACACCATCTCCCCTTGCCCTCTCTTGAGTTTCTTTCTCTTCATTTCCCAGATCAGCCTAGAGCCATACCCTTTTACTGCTGCTCATCCTTCAGGCTAGTCCTGGTTCTGTTCCTTTTTAAAGGAAAGCCCTGAGCAGAGAGAGAATTTTCAATCGGTATATTTCTTCCACATCTGTCCCCTGTGCAGGTTCATCTGCTTCCCACCCCACTCCTGCGTGACTGACAGGGGCCTCTTCTCTCTGCTCCTCCTCGGTGGCAGTCGCCCCTGACTCCTCTGTAACACCGAACAGCCCTAACCTCTGTGAAAGTGTCCTCTGGAGTTATCTGGTCTGAACTTGCCTGGAGCACTCTCAGGGTTCTGCTGTCTTCTCCACGCCCCTTGCTGGCCTGATTTCTTCTTTCCATCTCTCATGGCTCAATATGGGTCGAGCCAGAGGGTTTCCTTCCATCTTTGCTCCCCGGAGCACTGGCAATTGGAAAGAGTCCCTCCCCTGCCACACACGACCCACCCAATGGGGAAATGAAATCCTTAATT